TGCGGAGGGGGTATTGTTAACAAAACACCCTCTCAAGCAAGAAACCTCATCTCGGAGTTGGCCGAGAATTCCAGGCATTACACCGGGCGGCCCTCAACCCGAAGAGTAGCCGCGGCTGAATCTATATTATCTCTCGAAAGTCAAATGGCCGGCTTGACTTCTTTGGTTAAGGATTTCCTTTTAAATCCTAGAAACCAAGAGGTCAAGGTCTGCGGAATATGCACACAGCAAGGATTCTAGTGTGAAGTTGATGCCTAATAAAGGAAAGGCGGTATCACAACTTGAGTACTCTCAAGCCATTGGTAGTCTGATGTATGCCATGACAAGCACTCGGCCGGATATTGCTTATGCCGTGGGTAGGTTGAGCCGGTTTACTAGTAATCCTAGTACTCTACATTGGCACACAATGAAGAGAGTGTTCAAGTATTTAAAGGGAACCATGGATTATGGTTTGTGTTACTTTGAGTATCCTTCAATTTTAGAGGGATATTCGGATGCAAGTTGGATATCCAATGTAGAGGATCATTCTTCTACAAGTGGTTTGGTATTCTTGCTTGGGGGAGGTGCCATTTCTTGGGCATCCAAGAAGCAAACTTGTATCACAAGTTCAACGATGGAATCTGAGTTTGTTGCGTTGGCTACCACCGGTAAAGAGGCGGAGTGGTTAAGAAATTTAATTTTTGAGATTCCATTGTGGGGGAAGCCGATTGCACCTATTTCTATCCATTGTGATAGTGCTGCCACTTTGGCTAAGGCGTATAGTCATGTTTATAAAGGCAAGTCTAGACACTTAGGTGTTAGACATAGTATGATTAGAGAACTAATCATGAATGGTGTAATTTCGGTGGAATTTGTAAGATCACAACATAACTTGGCGGACCACTTGACCAAAAGTTTGGCCCGGGACTTAGTGCACAAGTCTGTTATAGGGATGGGTTTAAAGTCCATTTAATCCTTAATGGTGAGACACCCAATTCCCCTCTAATACAACGTTAGAGGCTGAATTCAATGCGAAAAGATCACACTTAATGGATTGGAACACACAATGAAAATCATCCCAAGGTGTGTGTTCGGACCTGTAGTAGGGAGGTTGAATTTATTTCTTAATAATTCCTTTGATAAAGTGTAAGCAGGTACACGAGTAAAGGAATTACCTATATGATCGTGAAATGTAGTCGTACTTCAAAAAGCTTGGGACTTGGATTTTATACGATCATGAATGGGATTAGGACACACAGCTTTATAATTGTGTCAAGTTTGTATTCTAATTGAGTATAGAAACTTGTATGTATTTTATCTTGAGGTATTCAAATGGGTTGAAGGGTTCAATCCGTAGGACACCCCGATTCTCGAATATTTTGAATGTGTAAAATACTAAGATGGAAATTCAATTGTATCGACATTTCCATTTATGTGCAAGTTTTGGTTTGTAAACTTTGTTATGTCATTTCATGGGTTACACTAAAATGGGGGAGGATTGCTGGTGATTTTAGTGTCACCGGCCGTTTGTGTAATTGGAAATGACATGAGTGCCAATGGGAATTAGAACTATGATCTAATACAAGTTAGTAGGTGTGGAGTGCACACTTGTATATAAGAACTAGTTTAATTCCAACGTGTCTACATTAGTGGAACTCGAGGTATAACTTTCAGTAGACCAGCTCTGTGGTCCTAGACCGAATTCTAGAACGGTTAGGCAGTTTCCAGCAGTTTCCCAAAAAACTGCTGCGGTTATTCTTAAACGTGTTGCAACTGCCTAGAACAGTGAATATGGATATATATCACCATATTTCGTACAGAGGAGTAGGAGGAAACAAATCCAACATATCTTCATCACTTTGGCACTCAAATTAAAGATAACAATCCATATACTCGACTAGTTTGGCTATAGTTCTTGTGCCTAAGTTCTAGAGTGTCCTTAAGGATTATCCTAGATTGAATTTCTTGTAACCTAGGCATAGGGGAGAAATATCAATTCGGAAAGTGAACTTACATGATCCTTAAGCAATCCAAGTACTCGATTATCACCCCCTACGTGATATACCCCAACATTTATGCCATACATCCATATCATCAGTGATTATATTTATCTCTCCTTTACAAAGCTTTGCTTGCATCACGTACAATGATCCTTCCATCTTCCCTCGAACCATGACCAAACTTCCTTTGGTGAGCTTCCATTTTTCTCCACCAAAGTAATTCATCAGACCAGCATCGTCTAGCTTCCCAATGGTGATGATATTGAGGCGCATGGCCGGAACATGCCTCACATCTTTTAGAACAAGCTTGCATCCGGTGCTAGTTGTTAGGACGATGTATCCTATCCCAACTATCTTGCTTCTATCTTGGTTTCCCATTTGAACCGTACCAAAGTCACCGCTTTGGTAAGATGAGAAGAAACTTCCATGGGGAGTAACATGGAAGGAAGCACCAGAATCGATAATCCAAGAACTATCATCACAAGCAATGTTTAGGATATTACCTTCTCCAACGAGATATAGCAGATCTTCTTTTCCTACTACGGCAGTGGTACTCTTCTCTTCTTGCTGCTTCTTCGTTGGGCTGACTTGGTCTGGTTCGACGTTACCGGCCTTTTGATCTCTTTTGAAGGATCGACACTCCATTTTCCTGTGGCCCATTCTTCCACAGTGGTAGCATGTGATCTTCGAGCGTGACTTGGACCTACCTCGAGATTGTTGCGGATCTCAGCTCTTACTGCGTCCAAGAGTCTCATTCCTACCTCGGTTCTCGATAACATTAGCCTCGGGATGCATAGACTCACCTCGTTCTATTCTCCTTGATTCTTCACCAAGAAGACTATCACTGACGGTGTCCATGGTTAGTTTTCCTACCGGAGCTGAGTTACTAAGCATAACCACGAGTGTGTCCCAACTTTCCGACAAGGAACTAAGGAGTAGAAGGACTTGCAACTCGTCATCAATCTTCATCTCAATTTTGGTTAATTGATTTACGAGCCCCTTGAAATTGTTCAAGTGTTCAATCATACTATGATCATCCTTATACTCCAACTTCACCAATCGTCGAACTAAATTGGCCTTATTATGAGGTGTTTTCTTTTGAATCATGGACTCAAGCTTTGTCCATAATTCATAAGCATTCGTGTAAGTGGACACATGGTCGAAGAGGGATTTGTTGATGTACTTACGGATCATAGCAACGGCCTTCCGATTCAGTAGCTCCCATTGAGCGTCGCTCTTGCCTTCTACCTTCTCTTTGTAGATGATGAGCTCATGCAAATCCTTGCAGTATAGATGATCCTCCATCACCGGCTTCCAATATGAGTAGTTGTTGGCGGTGAGCTTGAACATGTCACTATCATGAGCCACACTATCCTCCATCTTGAACTGCACGAGCTAATGACGACTTCATATGAACCTGTCTCTGATATCACTGTTGGGAAAAACTCCGGACTTTTCCCGCTTCGTGAAGTTAAGATAGGCACTTAGGAATTAAAGTAGTAATGGGAGCACACGATTTAAATTCTCCAATATGGAGATTCTTCCGCTATACAAAAGAATAGTGGGATTTACAAGGATGTTACAAAATTGTCTCACTCAATGGTGGCTCACTCAAGCTTGAGGATAGAAACTTCCCAAGCTATCTCTCTTCTCTCTCAAAGAGGCTCTCTAATTTTCTCACTCTAAGAAGTGGATTCACTCTTGGCTAGGATTGCTAGGATGGTTAGGAATGGAGACTCCTACTCCTATTTATACTACTCCACCTCCATAATGATCTAGAATGATCTACACATGACTACATATTCTAGAGAATTACAAGGAATCTCTACACCTCTCCACTCTCTTCCATATGCTTTCATACTCTTCCATAAGCTTCCGGAAGGTTCCACACATCTCCAGAATATTCCAGAGGATTCAACACTATTGCGCAAGCTTCTAGAGAGTTCTAGACTTCTATAGGATTCTCCGCAACGTTCTAGAAAATTCTATACTTCTCTAGAAAGCTCTAGAATTTTTCTAGAACCTCTCCAATTAAGGAGGGATCCCAACAGTATATTGGTATGACAGTATCATATTTTTTGTAGTGGATATAAAATTTGTTGTAGAATTAACGATATATAAAAATTTACACTTGTTTGATCTTTGATGTTAGAAACTCGATTCACTCAGCTTGTTCATGGATTCACATGTTTTTCAAATTCTTCTTGGATTCGTTGATTTTTTTATTCTTCTTGGATTGGCTGGTTCTCTAATAATTCGTCTCTAATTTTCCGGTTCTCAGATTCATCTTCGGCCTGACCATCTAATCACCAGGTTTCATATCCCTTTGCTTTTATCGATTTTTACCCTTCTCTTATGCGTTCGATATTTTCTAAGTTTGATTTAGCTTCTAAAATTAGTGCACTAATGGGTATAATTTTTCTTGTTGTTGACTTCTCTTATAATTTCTATTGGATTTTGAATGCTATGAAGTTTATTTTAATGGCCAATTATGATTTTCAAAGTGAAAATGAAGTTGATGATTTACACTTTAAGTATGAAGTTTATGTATGTTATGTAATTTGTTTTGCATGTTGTGAAACTAAAATTTTATATGTTATGTTCTCAATTGGTGGTACCTAAAGCTTCATTATAATAATTATGTTCTTTTTTCAACATTGTTTTACGTTTGCAAAATTAAAATGCGAGTTAGTGAATATTATGTTGTCTCATAAAAAATATTACCAAGTAACAAAATTCAACAGGGAAAAAAAAGTAAACCTTGTTCAAAAGGGAAACATAGTACTGTACAACAAACCAATATAAGTGATGATAAATATAATACTTCATCCGTTCTTTTTTAGTTGCAACGGTCAACATTTCACATTTCTCAACTCACGTCTTTGACCGTAATTATATCTTAATTCTATTAGCAAAAAAATATTAAAAATAAGATTTTGAATATTTATAATGAGATAAATAGAACAATATTTATTTTAAAAAATAATATTCATAAAATAATAATATATAATTTAGTATGCAAAGACTTCCTACGTGTACTTTTATCCAACAAATTTATTTTTATTTCACAAGGCGCTTGTAACAATTATTGGAGAGAAAACAAAAAAGGTAGAAATAATAAAGGCAGTTATCACTTTGTTTATTCATCAATGTAATAATTGTGATGATAATAGATTATTTTTGGTCGGCGAGTAGAGCCTGCGCCCTCTTCTCATACTTGAACCCATTCGATTTCGAATCATCGGCACACCACACAAATATCCCATCGAGCTTCCCCTCCCTCTTCAGCTCGCCGCAAGCCTTAAAGAACCCCTTTTCCGGCGACAGCCCGCCTCCCCCGCCGCTAACGAAGCTCGCCAGCACTCTCCCCCCGCCGTAGTTTTCATCCCTCTGCTTGTTGAAATGGCTTATGAACTGCTTCACGGTGGTCCCCGCATCATATGCGTAGAATTGAAAGTTGACGTAGTCTATCACGCCACCGTATCGCTTCCACAGAGCGGTGTAATGTTTCTGGACGGTGGCGTCGTCGAACGGCGCTATGGAGGCGAATGAAATCACTCTGTTTTTCTTCAGGGCTGTGATCAGCCTTCCGATGCACTCCACGAGCGTGTCTGGGTCGGAGTCGGGTTCGAAGTGCTCGTAGTCTATGTCGATGCCGTCGAGGTGGTACTCTCCGATGATCCGTGTCAGGGAAGACACGGCGTTTGAAACCCAAGAATCGACGGAAGACGGTGCAAAACGGACGGGGGCTTTATTTACAGTGTCGCCGCCTAAGCTGACGGCTACCTTTATAACAAAAGAGAGAGTGATTATTAAGCAGGAGTGTTTGACAAAATTATGCAAGAAAGTCGCACTTTTAATCTCTATAGTAGACATATTGAAATGTTAGACTCGATTCTCCATTTTATAAATGTCACTTCTCAATTGTACAAAATGCTCTAAATGTGATCCTTTTAAGGTGAAATGTACACCGGGCGATGAGTACATTTCAATCTCAAAAGAGTACATTTATAATAATTTGGACAATTAAAGGGTGACGCTCGCGGGTCAACATATTGAAATGTTAAGACTAAAGTTTTAAACCTAAAAGTTGAACACGAGTAATGTTAGAATAATATGTACATTTCAATCTCAAAATGTTAGACCAAAGTATTACACCTTAAAATGAGAAATGAGTTTAATATTTCAATATGATGACTATTTCATGTACTAAAAGTGTGATTTTCTCGAGTAAAAACGTTGCATAGTACTCCTTCCCAACAAAATACTTTCCGCTTTGAATTGTATATATGTCTATTAAGAAAATGAGAATAAAATGAAAATATATGATTGTGATTGAATAAGAAAAGTAAATAAATATTAACTACACAAAACTTGTTGAGCAAGATTTCCTTCTTACTGCTAGAAGGAAAGATGCTAGATCTGTGAAGATCAAGAGAGGAAAGGATGTAGTGAAATCCAAGGTTCGCTGTTCCAAGTATCTTTATACCCTGTGTGTGTTTGATTCAGAGAAAGCTGAAAAGTTGAAGCAATCTCTCGATTCTCTCCCTCCAGGTTTGAGTGTGCAAGACCTTTAAAGGACTTCTGAAGTACTCTTTACCCTTGAAGGAGTCTTTTTTCTGTTTCCAAAACATTGACATTTTAGTAGTGTTTCTCTAGCTCACTGATAGCTGAAGTATTGAGCTATAATATTATTTATCCTTTTCCTTATAATTGCACTGCGTACCAAAACATTGACATTTTAGTAGTGTTTCTCTCACTGATAGCTGAAGTCTTTGAGCTAAAAAAAATTAACTACACAAAACATTTGAAAAATAGTACTCCATCCAGTCCTAAATAAACTTCACACCCTCTTTTTTGGGTAGCTCCAAAATAAACTTCACACTTCTTCTTTCTTACTTATTTGGCAAATTATATACATCAAAACAGTGCAAAACAGTGTCAAACAGTGTCACAAACAGTGTACTCTACGGTAAAGTCAAATTTATTTGCTTAATTTGTGTAAAGTCAAAGTGTGAAGTTTATTTAGCAGCGGAGGGAGTAAATGAGAAGAATTTTTGGGACATCCCAAATTAATTTAGTAGTTTATTTTGATAGCTAGAGAGAGATTAAGATACATTTAGTACGTGTCTACAAGAAACATTATGTACAACATTTTTAACCGAGAAGGGAGGAGGTTCTATGGTAGCATTATAGTGAGTTTAAGTTCATGACAACTTAATTTTGTTCAACTTTTAGGTGTAATTTTTTTTTCATTTCTATATTTAGCTCACATTATTGATGTTAAAATATACTACTTCCGTCCCACAAAATTCTTTCCGCTTTGACTCGACACAGATATTAAGAAAGTGGAAATGTGTGGTTGTGAGTTGTGTAAGAAAAATGTGAAATGAATGTGAACGACACAAATTATCCAAAAATGGTAAGTGGAGAATTTTTTTTGGGATGACCTAAAAAGGAAAGTAGGAAGAATTTTATGGGAAGGAGGGAGTATTCCGTAGTAATTACTCTAAATTTCGGTCTAACCCTGCCCTTATTTATAACATACTGTATATTTTCTTAAGTACCACTATTAGTTTTTCTTTTCTTGAAATGAGATTTTTTCATTCTTAAATCCCAAATATAAAATAATCTAATACATGCAATTGATATTTACTATTTCTAATTACTGCATTCTTTTAACTATAAGCAGTGGCGGAGCCAGAGGTTTGTCCAAGGAGGGGCAAACCAAAGACTAAAAATTTTAAAGTTCGTGTCCAAAATATAATAAGAACAACAATAGCGTAATAATTTAACAAAAAATTATAGTTCATTACATACTACTTGATTTACTTCTGCAACCTAGGCAAATCAATCCTACGAGTTTTCATATTTTGAAAATGCTGCATAATAGCTTCATTATCAATTGCTTGAAAAATGTCTCTTTCGATGTAGCATACTAAGCAATCCGTAAGATAGTCATCTCCCATCTTATTGCGAAGATCTGTCTTGATAATATTCATCGATGAGAAAGCTCTTTCATCTGTGGCTGTTGAAACTGGTAACACTAGAGCCAACTCAATAAGACGATAGACCAAGTGAAAAGATTTGTGAATTGTAAGCTCAACCATCTTCTTAGACACTTCACCAATACTTTGTAAAGTGGAAAATGCTTCATTTCCACTCATCTCATATATCCAAACTTGGAGTTGTTCTTTAAGCTCCATATGCTTCATCACATCATCCCTAATCCCCGGCGCATATTCATTAATTGATTTTCGTAAAAATGGATCACTAATAATATCCCATTCATGTGTACTTTCTGTTCGGGCTCTCTTGTCCCTCTCATTCCTCTCATCTCTAGCAATATTTTCATTTGACGCAGTGGCATTTTCAACACTAGAGATAGACTGATTAGGAACAATTGAAGAACTAACACCTCCAATCAAAGACCTCTTAGTCTTAATTACAAATTTATCCAAACTCATACTCCTAAATATAACAAAAATAAGTATGAATTAAAAATGTTCCTTATACAAATAGCATTAAATTGCATCTAGAACTGAGATTTGAGGATTCACACAAATAATTTCTGACTTTTCGTTAGGGATGAGAGCAAATAATTAATATGGGCATAAATTGGCAGATGAGAAACTTACTTGAAAATTGCAGAATCTGAGAACAAATGGGGAGAAGTGAGAACTAGGGTTGGATTCAGTTCAGGAACCGAACCGAAATAGGAAATATCCGAACCGAACCGATCTTTCGGTTTCGTATATTCTATAACCCGAAACCGAACCGATCTAAGTTGGGACCCAATTTTTCGGACACCGAATTTTCGGTCCGGTTATTCGGTTTTTTCACAAAAACCGAATGGGTATTCAATATTTGTTTATATTGAAGGAGCTAATACTTGCACTCAAGCTTTACTAGCAACTTAATCTTTATCAACTATGAAGGAGCGATTATATAAGCTCAAATGAGGAGTGAATCCTCTATTTCATCCGGTGTGGGACGAGTTGTAGGCTGAAGAAAATAAAATTGGAAGTATTGGGGCGGAAGAAAAGCAAAACAAGTTTAACTTAATCTGTCCTGGGGGGATTCGAACACGGGTGATACGAAGGGAGCATGTTACCTATCTCCACTAAGCTACTCCGGATTATTGGCAAATTGGGATGCCAAATGTATTACATACATTAATCCCCCTTTATTCTATATTTCATTTTTTTTACTTTTTCTGAAAATACTTTTTTATTTATTTTAACACTTCATCTTAAAATAACCTTAAGTTGTACTTATTGTTTTTAAAATTTAAAAAGAAGCCGGGGCAAGAAACATATTATAAATAATACTAGTAAAAAAAATTAGTCGGAGCGGGGGCGCTTGCCCCCGTTGCCCCCCCTAGCTCCTCCACCGACTATAAGTGTAAGATTTATTTGAGTTCAACAGCTTTTAAATACGGAGTAATAAAAGGGGGTAGTGGACTACTGCCAACTGGTCAAGGTAAACCACCAAAAATATATATGGAGCGTCCTCACTACAACGTCAGTCTGATGGGATATGGATTCTTTCAAACTTTTAAATGGGTGACTCTCATAATTTAGGATATTTTTACTTAACTCAAATGTGATGGTTTGATTTAGTCTAGTCTAATATGATCTGATTTGTTTAAGACTAATCTGAGCTAGTTTAGTCTGATTTATTTAAATTTGATCCGAAAACGGTCAAACTAAAGACATTCTTAGCTTCTCCATTTATTTATCCAATCGGTGGGCGTAGCTCAACTGGTAGCAAAGAAGTGTCACAAAGGTAAGGTTAGGTTCCGGGTTAGAATCCCGGCAACTGCGATGAGGGGTCACTATGCTAAAAATGCATAGGGCCTCTGCAAGAACCGGAGACAGAACCCCGCTTTCTATCTGTCAGATTAATTTACATCCTACCAACGTACCGTGCGATCAGAATTGGGGGGCCCTCCGAGACTGAGATGTCATCCTTTCCATTTATTTACCCATCATAATATGAGTCTTAATTTAAAAGAGAAATTACAAATAAAGGATAAAAAGTCAAAGTTTTTGGGTCCCTCGATCCCATCACAATACTTAATTGTTCAATAATGTCATTTGAATTGATTGAATTTAAATATGTCTACGAAAAAGTAAAAGCTTTAACTTAATAATAAAAAAAGGATGACACCCCATTCCTGACGGCCCCTAATCCTGACCGGACAGTATATTGGTAGGATGTAAATTGAACTAAAATCGTAATCTAAAAGATAGAGAGTGAAGATCTGTTCCTGATACTTTTTAACTTATGACAATGAAACGATTGCACCTAAACCTAAGATAACCGAGAGTAGTGTTCCGGTCAGGCCTTCCTGACCGGAACCGCTGTCCGGCCGACGTCTTTTGGAGTCCTTCCCGGTGGTTTTTTTTATGAAAATTTTATGGCATGATCTTTATTAAGTCTAGTTTATAAACAAAAAATTTCAGTTAAAAATTCAATCGGGAAGGTTGTCAAATGATTTTTTGAAGTTAACTGCGCTAAAAAATACATATAAAACGCAGTTAACTTCCAAAAATCATTTGACGACCTTCCGGATTGAGTTTTTAGCTGAATTTTTTTGTGGATAAACTAGACTTGATGAAGAACATGACATACAAATTTCATAAAAAACCCACCAAGAAGTGCCCCAAAAATCATCGGACAGACGGCAGTTCTGATCCAGATTTCCGGACCTGAACATTTGTCAAATAACCGATATATGAATACAATTATACAATTAAAAAGAATACAAGAAGTGTTTAGGAGCAACCTTAACATTAGAATGCTTAGACTTGATGGCGGAGACATGGGAAGGGGAGAGGTTATGGGAATCCCAGAAAATGTTGAATTCGCCATTGGTAGGAGAAGGGGGAGAGGAAGATGAGGTTTTGTAGTCAATGGCGAAGGACAGAATGAAGTGGAAGTGGTCAACGTTTGGGTTTATGGGCACGTCGGAGAACTTGACGTTTGTGAACTCTGCGCCTATGTATTCCCGAAACACCGGGGACTTCCCGGACGCCACGCCGATGACCGGTGGAATTGAACACAGAGCATATATCAGGAGGAGGAGGAGGATGGTTGGCTTGTTTGAGATTTTCATTTGGGTCTTTTTATTTTTTCTGTTCGAGAGAGAATTTGTGTATGAAGAGCAAAACATATTACTCCGTATATTGTCCAATTTATACGGTATTTGCTAGACTATGGACGGATGGACTCATGGACCTATGTTTGATAGATATTGTTTGCATAGGAACATCTTCTTTTCAACTAACCTAATCCCAATCCCCTAACTCTTACTCCGTATTTTTCTAACTTCATTTTGTGCTTTAGACAGTCTTTGCAAACGCTTAAAAAAGTGTTTCTCGTCTTTTGGCTCAAAAAAGCATAAACTGTGTTTTCAAATGACACCTTTTGTTTAAATAAAACTCTAAAAAGTTAAAAACTAAAATCTGCTTTTTACTTTTTCTATTACACAAAAAGCATACATTTTGTCAAACATTACCAACTTTTACGTTTCAAAATCGTTTTTTCTCAAACATTATCGACTTTTATTATTAAGCACTTTTTCTAAAATCACTTTGAAAATTGATTTTTTTAAAGCACAAGTTGTTGCAAACACTCTCCTAACGTTAAATCATACTACCTTCATCCCATTAACAGTGAGACAACAATCAGACATTTCTTATTTTACAAATTGAAATTTTCAACAAAATGGGTAGGTTCCTCATTTCACCAATCTTTATGAGTTCTCCATTTCAAGTATAAAATTTCAATCTAATCAATCTATATCTATGATATACATATACATACATACATATATATATATATATAATAAGGATCAAATGAGAAGATGCTTATCATAAGAAGTGAGAATGCATCTGGTGCGTTTAATTTAAGATCTGTGCATCAGATTTGCAAAAAAGTACACGGGAAAGTGCAAAAAATATTAAGAAAATGATCCTAGACGCGGTGGCATTTCTGTAATTAATCGGAACTTTTCTGCCATCGCAAAAAGTGCATCAGATTAGCAAAAAAGTGCATCAAAAATAGGTAAATGTGTAACTTCTCACTTCTCACGTTAAGATGTCTTCTCATTAGAACCCGCCCCCTATATATATATATATAGAAATATTCATGTCAGGCCTTCCACTACAAAAAAAACTTCCGTTTTGTCACGGTTTTTTGTCACGGATCACGGCCGTGACAAATTTGTCATGGGCTTTGTCACGGAAAAATGGGATTTGTCACGAATAGGTTTTGTCAAGGATACGTCCGTGACAAAATCCGTGCCAATTATTTGTCACAGCTTTGCTCTGTGACGAATTTTCTTCGGTGACCGGCATTTTACTCCGGCCAAAACATTTTTTACTCCCGGGCATTTGTCACGGACGGATCCGTGTCAAATTCGGTGACAGAATTCAAAAAACGTTTGTCACGGACGAGACCGTGACAAAATCCGTGACAATCCTCAATTATTGATATTCCAGCGGTAACCTTTAATAATGCGGTACGGAAAAGCATTTGTCACGGATTTATCCGTGACAACTCCGTGACAACGTTTTTTATATATCCCGACTTCATTCATTAGAGTTGTAGCTACGAAGAACACTTATCAATTCAAAAATTCATATGGAGACAAGGTATGTAATCTGTCAGTTCATGATTTTTCCTGTTTATGGAGACAAGGTATGTCATTTTAGTATGTATTTCTTTTAATAAGTACTAATATGTATTTTCATATTAAATTATTAAAATTGTTAAATTATTGAGGTTGTTAATTTATTTAAACTATTAACGTAATTTTAACGTAATTTAGTGAGGTCGTGTTAATTTTCATATTATTAACAATATATTAAACTATTAACGTAATTTAGTTAAATTTAAATATTAGTTAAATATAATTATTATTTAATTGAAATGGGTTTATATAACCAATTATTAGATTTGTTTATTAGCAATTATTGTTAATACATAATTTAGGATTTGTAGTGATTTAAGTTAGGATTGAAACTTTATTAATTAGTTTAGTGTGATTTATTATTGTGATTTAATGATATTTAACAATATTAGTTAAAAGGAAATTAGCTAAGTTAAATTGGTGAACTTTAATTAATTTAGTTCCATGACTAATATTTAACAATATTAGTTAAATGTAAATATTAGTTATTTGAAATGCATGGGTTTAGAATTTGAATTGATAATATTAGTTAAATTTAAATATTAGTTATTTGAAATGGGTTTAATTATAACCAATGATGATATATTAGGTTTGTTTATTAGCAATAATTTTTGTTAATGCATAATTTAGGATTTGTAGTGATTTAAGTTAGGATTGAAACTTTATTAATTAAGTGTGAATTATATATTATTGTGAACTAATGATATTTAACAATATTAGTTAAATAGAAATTAACTAATAAGTTAAATTAGTGAACTTTAGTATTGTGAATAAATGTCATTAACGTAATAATTTAGTATATTTGGTGCACAAATTCTAATATTGTGAATTAGTTAATAATTGAAACGATTAATGCCATTAACGTATTACTATTAGTTGATTAGTAATTTTAATTGAACGTTAGTTAATTTTAGTGAACTTTAGTGAAATTTAATATATTAATTTTATTAGTGAACTTTAGTTAATTATTAAATTATTAATGCCGGCCATTAACATATTGATTTTAGTTAATTAATAATATTAATAGTGAACTTGAGTGAAATTTAACATATTAATGTTTCTAAATATGAATTAGTCATGATTGAAAAATTAGTTAATTTAAATTATTAATGCCACAAATGTACTGCTTTTAGTTAATTAATAATATTAATTGAACGTTACTTAATGTACTTATTATAATATTTTGATTATAATATTCAGGCATAATGTATAGACAAAATAGAAGTTGGATGTACCAAAAACATTGCGATAACTATGGAATACGCAATGAATTTTTTAATGGTGTAGAAGATTTTATTAAATTTACACTAGAACAGAAGAATTATATGGATGTCGATAAAATAAGATGTCCATGTGCAAAGTGTAAAAATCTCCAATGTAAAGATGTCGACCAAGTTGTGTGGGATTTGTTCGAAAAATGTTTTGTTGCCAATTATTATAATTGGACTTCTCATGGCGAACCTTTCGATCCATCACTTTTACCACAAAGAGTAGGTTCATCTCGTAACGTCGCATGAGTGGGTGGGGAGCCTATGATCAAATGACGTGGGAGCGAAGAATGTCATATTATGTATACGGTGCTTCAACGACACAGTTTAACCCACCACAACCATTTAATGATCTTCCCGAAGCTTCGACCTCGTATCAACCAGATGCGGATGAAGATCCGACCTTTTTGTTATATAGTTTATTTGATTGTTTGCAAAAAATGTTTAATTTATTATAAACAATTAAATAAACTTTTAATTTTAATTAAAAAATGCGCATAAAATTTTATTATTTTTTTTAAATATAAAAAGTTTGTCACGTTTGATTGTTTGCAAAAAATGTTTAATTTATTATAAACAATTAAATAAACTTTTAAATTTTAATTAAAAAATGTGCCGAAAATTTATTTTTTTTTAAATATAAAAAGTTTGTCACGGACGGGTCCGTGACAAAATATGAATTCAGTATTTTTATTTAAAAGAGCACTGAAAATATTGTATTTTTATTAAAAAATAAAACTGTTTGTCACAGATTCTATCCGTGACAAGATCAAAATTTTGAATATTCAAAGTACCCGCCCAGCGGGTTTCGAAAATTTTCAGAAAATGTTGTCACAGATATTTCTGTGACAAGATGAAAAATTTGAATTTCAAATCATGTTTCAAATACCCGCCCAGCCTATTTCGATTTTTTTTTTCAAATTTTCAAAAACTTTGTCACAAAAATATCTGTGACAAACATAATTAATTTTTTTTAAAATAAAAAAAGGAGTCATGGCTACGGCCGTGACAAATAAGGACCGGTATAGTTCCTGTGAAGTGTTTTGTCACGGATGGAGGCCATGACAAATCCGTAACAAATTTTGTCACGGACTCGTGTCCGTGACAAAAACTTTGTCACGCCCCTGATGTCACGGATTTGAGCCGTGACAACGTCCGTGACAAAGTTCATTTGTCACGGAATTTTTGAACTACTGTCCGTGACAAAATCCGTGACAAATTGAGTGATTTTTTGTAGTGTTCTTGACCGTAATTGCCATCCATTCGATGGCTTTTGGGGCCTTTCCCAGTGAATTTTTTTGATGAAATATTTATAGAATGTTCTTCATCAAGTCTAGTTCATCCATACCAAATTTGAGAAAAAAATTCAATCGGGAAGGTTGTCAAATGATTTTTGAAAGATAACTGTGTTTTATATGTATATTCCGACGCAGTTATCTTTCAAAAATCATTTGACAACCTTCCCGATTGAATATTTTCTCAAATTTGATATAGATGAACTAGACTTGATGAAAAACATGCCATAAAAATGTCATCAAAAAATTCCACGAGGATGGTTGTTATACCGTGGGAGCAGCCCACCATGAGCATGCTGCTCCCACAGACAAAAATACGCGTGTTACTGTTCACGCGTGAACAGTAACTTATTTTTTGTTTTTCCAGTGTCCAGTAGCAGAGTAATGTAACCCGCGTGTAAAGAAATGTAACTCACGCTGATCAGAACTGTAACTGCAGGCAAGTCCAAACGTAACTTGTCTAATACGAACTATAAGAAATAAAACATTGATTTCCTTGAAACAAGGAGTCTAATTGCTCAATTACTTTACGTAAATAGTGAATATGTTTTGTTTTTAATATTAAGAGCATAAATAATTTTTTCCCTTAAAATCAGTTTTTTTTTTGCCAAAAAATCATTTTTTTGCAAAAAAATCATTTTTCCGCCATTTTTTTCCCTTGCGAAAAACTCGTTTTTTTGTTTCAATAGCATGTGTTTACTTAAATAGTGAATATGTTCTGCCAAAAAATATTTTTTTTTTAAATCACTTTTTTGCTAAAGAAATCATTTTTTGCCTTGTTTGGCAAAAAATGATTTTTTTGTTTCAATAGTAGAGCTTTATGTTGCGATGTAACTTATGTTATATAAAATGTAACTCACGTTGATGAAAAATCTAACTTTGGTCAATGTAAAATGTAACTTGTTAAGGTAAGTCCAAATGTAACTCGTGTAAAGGAAGATGTAACTCACGCATAAAAAGATGTAACCTGCGT